AAATAATTTCATTGTAATACAGACATCCAAAGCAAAAAAAAAAAAAAAAAAACAGTCATGAAATATTGTGGCATAATTACAAATTTAATTATAAAAAAAATGAAAAAAGAGAAAACAAACTCATTCAAATATTTTCACGAAGAAAGTTAGATTGAAATGTTTTTAATCCAATATTATTAAGTTAAATACAGTTAAATTATTTTGTTAGTGATCAATGCCATATATTTCTAAAATTAATACATCTGTTGGAAAATTACATTTGCAGAAATTATCTGCTTTTTCCATCCTTCAGAGATATGTAATGAATCCTCTAGCAAAAAATCTTTTTTGTTATTTTATTTGTTTATTTATTTTTTTAGACTGCCAACAAAACTAAAAGAAAAAAATGGGGAAAATCCCTCTACTTACAAATGTTATTAAATTCCGTTATACATGAACCTACCAGCATTATTCATTTTTTTAAATTTTTTTTAAAAAATTTTTATGAATTTATAAAGGTAACTTGTATTATTTCCCCATAGGAACACTGAAACAGGGTTGTTTAAAATTATGTTAAATCAAAAGATGGAGGCAGTGAAAAAATGCTTCAGATTAGAACCCTGGACATAAGGCAGTAAGTTAAGATTTCTGGAAATTTATTTAGGGATAAAATATTGGGGTAGGGGTTGATATTAAAAAAAAATCTAGTGTTCATCTAGAAACAGCCCAGATGAACAGAGGAGAGAGTATAAAATAAATAATATATATATATATATATATATATATATATATATATATGAAAAATTTGAGGGGAAAAAACTATGACAAAGTGGAAAAGTTTTCATGTGATCCATTTTGTCCTTAAGGATTTATTGAACTAAAGTGATATTTATGGTGACGCAACTACACGTGCGCACAAAGGAAAGAGGATACTGAGAATTTTTTTTTTTTTTTTTACATATATTTATTTTGATATATAATCTAACCAATTTCATTTAGTTTCTTTGTCTTTTTTGTTTGTGTTTCTATCACTTTTATTATTAATTATTTCACATTGTGATAATAGAAGATCTGCTGAGATAGATAAAATGTTGTAAGAACCTGGATGTAAATTTACTGGAGACAATCTAATATCTAATAATTAAAGCATTTTGTAAACATTTTTGTCTTAGTAAAGAAATTTAAATAAAAGATTATATGAACACAAAAGGGATGTTTTACAGAACAACACATTAAATGTAGTTGTTGCTAACTGTAATGAATTTGACCATAATTTTGAATTAAAAACTTCTACTCTAATTAAAGGAGAAAGCAATTTACTAAGACAAAAATGCTTAGAAAGTGTTTTAATTGCTAGATCATCAACAGTAAATTTACATCCAGGTTCTTAAAACATTTCAGCTTTCTTGGCAGATCTTCGTTATCATAATGTGGGGTACTTAATAATAAAAGTGATGACAAAAAGAAAAGCAAACTAAACAAAATCAGCGAGACTGTATACCCAAAACATATATTTGAAAAGAAATTTTAAATTTGATGAAGTTCTAAGGACGAAATGTGTCCCACAAAAAATTTTTCCCACTTTGTCATAGTTTTTCCCTAAATTTGTTCTTTATATAAAAAAAATTTATATATCGTTTTCCCAAATATAATCTCAAACAATTTATGCTGGTCTACTGGGTCTTTCAAACAGTTTTAGTTTAAATGCATGGCATAAATATAAGTCATCTTTAATTGTGGGAGCTAAACTTTAAAAAAATCACAAAGTGTATGTGTATGTCTGTGTTAGTAATTTTGCATATTTGTTGGCTTGTATATGTGGACCAATCATAAAATTACACCACCAGTTAAACCGTTGTTTATTTTTTATACTACAATATTCCCTGCATTAGGAGGTAACAAAAACATTTACATCTTTTTTCTCATGTCATTCAAATTTCTGTCAAGCACAAGTATTTACTGTACAACTGTAGAAAACCACAGTTGAAAGAACAATCACACATTACTGAGTTGACACAAACCTTCCATTACTGCTGGCAAATGGCTTAAAAAAAAATCTGACTGGTTGATGAGCAATAGTGTCAGTGGGGAATAAGAAGAGACATGGCTTTGTTTTTTTGGGTTTTTTTTTGTTTTTTTTTATATCTCTCTCACTTTGTATCTATCTATCTCACACTCTCTCACACACACCAAAAAAGCATTGTAGAAGTATTTTAATTTTAACTGTACACTCATTTATCAAGTGAGGTCCAAATCCATCATTTTTCTATGTTTCATACCCACAAATACAAAAGTATATATTTTGTGATTTTATTTATCAAGTGACCATCTTCTGATAAATAAAACAAAAAAAATGTTTTCTTTTTTCTTTTCTTTACCAATACCATTTAACTGGATTTCACACCATCATTTAATTTTGATAACACTTCAGTTGGCAAATATTCCATTTTTCATCTGATGTATCCAAACATGCACACAATAAGAAAATGAATAAATAAAGAGATTTTTTGTGCTCACTAACATCAGATGAGTTCAATAACATGTTTGTAAAATCCAGTTACTATTCCACATGCATCAACTGAGTGTCTTTAATTTTCAATTGCAATGCTTCAGTTGGCAACATTTTATTTAAAATGTGCTAAGTCTTCAAATATCTACAAATGTAGGTTTTTTTTTCTTATCACCTGATGATTTTTTTGATTTTGTTTTTGTTTCATGTAAACACAAAAATAAATATGTTAGCTATTCACTGCATATTTGTCTGGTAAACATTTAAAATTTCATCTAAGAAATATATGTATCTGTCCCACATTATATAAAAGGAAAAATATACTTTAATTTTTAGTTAAAAAAAAGCAAAAATATCACTTGTTCATTTTCTTATTTTGATGAAGAAATAAATAATATAAATTTCTAAAACAGGTTAGTCTAATGGTGTTTAAATCCTTGAAATGCTTACCATTAAATAGCTTGGTTTTCTCATTTTTTCCCTCTCATTAAGAAAGAGATTATTTTGTCAGTGCATTTGCTTATGTCAAATATTTTTACATATTATTTTGATTGTTTCTTTATAAATAATTACATTTATTCTTTATTTTGAATCATATAATATTGATTGCAAAAAAAAAAAGGATTTAAATAAAATCCATATTTATAACTGATTTTTCTTTGGCCTGTAAAAATGTATTAAATAGATGGCTCACTTACCACAAAGTTTGATGACAAAATCTTATACATGTTTACTTTGTAAGTAGTTCTACAAATTTCAAGCAATTCACATTGTGATTGACTCACTGTGAGAAACTAATATTTAAGTTGAAGAAATGACTATATTTTTATTCTTATTATTTTTAATGTAGAGTCCTTTTTTTTTTAAGCAATAACAGTAAGCATATTTTATATATATTTGATATAAACTTTCTGTTATTTATTACAGATGCTATAGGGAACCATGTCTGTTTAACTTCAACATTTTATATGTGTGTGTAATATATTAGGTTTAGTTATATGTAACTTCTGTTTAAGAGAACCAATTATAATGATGAATTTGTCAGCTTAACTACTAATTGTATGTGGCAGTTAAGAATAAATTTGGAATACACTAATATACTTTGGTTTTTGCACAGCAGTCACAATGTAAATTGGATTAAAGGAAAAAATGTTCATCTCCGCCATGACAATATAGCAAGGATAATACAGGAAAAAAATTGGTTGGTCTGTTCTAACTTGCCTGCCATATTTGCCAGACCTTACATTAACTATTACCTTTTTCAATCACTGCAAAACATTCTGATGGGGGAAAATTTTCTTGCATGAAAACCAGATTCAAGAGTTCATTGAAAACTTTGTTACATCAAAACCTGTGAGGTATCAAAGAGTTGCTTGATAAGTAGCAACAAGTCATTACAAATAACAGTGTAAAAGTTGATAAACAAAAATGAAAATTATTTATGTCTAAAACTAATATAATTTGTTTTTACACCAACTTGATGATAGTTATTCATTTCTTGCTTTTTAGTTGGTCAACTTTCAGAAGAATGATGAAATGGGACCCAAAGCGCACATTTCTAATAAGCAATTATACTTATATTAATTAACTCACATAGAAAAAAAAAATAAAATGACACCAATATTTTAGTAATTTTGTAATTAGATTAGTTATAATTTCTGCATAAGTAATCTCAGATATTTATATCCAGACCATTAACTTTCTTGTCTCATGTAAATAAGAATTATACTTTTTAAATGATTAAAATAGCCTCCAAAAGCTAACATGCAACAAAAAAGATTAGCAAAAAAAATAAAAACAATATCTTGATCTCTCCTATTTATTAATGAGATGTTTGATGTCGTGTAATGGCACCTAATAACCTAACAGAATATTTTTATTAAAAAGGGGAGATCACTTTATGGGACAGATAAATATATATGGTAGTTTGTATTATAGAATAAATTGGCCTTTGAATGAGATGGTGCAAACGCATTTTCTTTTCCTTTTTTTCTTTTGCATGAGATGTAATTCAGAATTGGGTGGGTAAGTGGTGTGGGAAATGATTCAAAACTAATTCATCAAAATCTATTTTTGATGAGTGTACAGTCAGCAGTAAATACCTCATTACAATGCTTCTTTTATTTTTATTTATTTTTTTTTTTTTACCTCTTCATCATTTTAGAATTTTCTCCTTTGTCTCTGATACATATTTTTCTGAGGGTTATTTTTTTCCCTTCTCTCATTTTATGGCTCATGATACAAGACCAGTCAGTTTGGGTAAGAATGTTGGCAATGAAGGCTCTCATCATTTTTTTTTTTTTTTTCTTTAAGTGTAAAGTTTTATGAAAAGAATTTCTGCCCTCTTTGTAAGCCAATTCCCACAGAATGGCCTCTTTTTAATTTTTTATTTGTTTACAAAGTTCCTGAAATATACTCAACTCTTATTTTTTTTTTCTTTTTCTTTTCCTCTTCTGTTTATTTCAGTTATATACAGCGGGTGGGTACCTTCTGGCTAAAATTTACTTATGGATCACTGAAACAAAGAAAAAAGAAACAAAATAATGTTTTAAATTGAAATGTTTTTTTTAAAATATATCTGATGATATATAAAATGGTTCAAATTATGTGGAAATAATTTTCTTCATTATTAAAAAAATGAAATGTTTATTAATGAAATGGCAAAATACAATAACCTCTTTTCAGAAAAAAAATTCACTGTTTGTGTTAACAGAAGGTCACAAATCCTCAACTAGGGGGCACATATAAGCTCTTTAACAATGGCTGGCAATCTACAGTTGGTTTCTCAATAAAAACACCTATTCCCAGCCTAGAAAACTCATAATGGTTGATATTCTTAAATAAGATATTAGAGTTGATAAATGATGTATGTACAATTTGGGTTATTCAAATAGGGAGAGATCCTTTATATATGTACACATTGTGCAAAACTGAAATCTTTACATCTGGTAAAAACATTACATGAATTTTATGAAGAATTAGCAATTTTATATCCTAACAGAAAAATGTAAGACAGTTGGTCATTAAAATTGAAAGAAGACTTTCAGACTGTTGAAATCATTGTTACCTTCAGTATAAAAAAAATAAAATAAATCTTCATTAATGAAATGACAAAATACTATAACCTCTTTTCAGGAAAAAATGCATCAAAGATGTTTAACATAAAATAAAAAAAAAAAATTTATATGTTGATATATCAATTATGCTGATCAAAATTCATATCTCTGTAACATTAAGAAGTTTACTATACATGATGTGATACTTTTTAATATTGTAAATAGAAAAATGTTTAACCCATTTTCAATTAGTGTTAGTTTAAACTGATGCCTTCTTTTTTCCATATATTTAAATTATATTTAAACTATAACTTTTGAGAGTGAACATTTCACTGAAATATGTTGGAAAATTTCCAAGTTTTCATTTGAAAGTCAAGAAAATCCAAACATTAAACTAAAAGGCCACAGTATATGGGGTAATAGGTGTCAATTTAAACTGATATCAACAGGATATGAGTTAACATTCAGTCTAATCAAACTCCCTAATTTTAAAATCTAATCAATGAAAGATTTGATGGACACTCAGGTCATTTTTGTTTTAAATTATTAGATTTATTTAAAGCAAAAAGTCAATCTTGTTGAAATGGCAGTTAAATATTTGATTAGATTTAAAAATTGTGAAATCAATCACTTAAAACAATTTTTTATTTTTATAATAAAAAATTTGTAAATTGCTCCTTTTTTTTTTTTAGGAGAGTTCAAAAGACATGCATGAATAGACACTGATCACTTTTGCCTGTTATTGACTAGTTGACCAGACCAGAATAGAATAGATGAAAGAAAGAATAAAAGCATGCAATAAAAGTTGAAGAACATGCAAAACACAAAAACGAAAAGCAAGGAGGCTAAATGAAATATGGCTCTGAATTTTGGTTTTTCTTTTAAATTTCTTATCTGGCTCTGTGAAAATAAAAAATTGCAGACAATGAAAGTAAAGCAAATAGAAAAAGGACAAAGGCTTGTTTCCCAGATAAAAATATTTTTAAAATGTAAAATGCATTTTCTTAAATCTAAAAGAGATTTAACAGCACACACGTTAGTAAACAGAAAAAAAAATTGAACACACTTTTCTTTCTGAAAATAAAATCATCTTAAAGAGTTATGGTGGCAAAATCTTTTGTTAGTTTAACTGTTAAGTCCTATTTATTGGTTAAACTTTAAAATAATGATTGCTCATAAACACAGCTGAGTTAAACAATTTCATTAGAAATTAGTTTTTCCTCATAAAAATTATTTAAGAAATAAAACAAATACAATCAAAATTTCTTAAGAGATACTTTAATCTATTCGTACTAGTATCTGTATCTTGCTTGTTATAATCTCAATGTCTAAGAAATTTTACCCTATGAACTTGTTCAGCTATCTGGTAGCTCTCTGAGGATTTCAAAGCAAAAATTTTATTTATTGAGATGAGATATCTTTGAGCATGGAAACTGGAATGAGAACAATGTTATCCTATGGATTGAATAAAAGAACCCTTATGAAGGCTTAACTTAAATGAGCCATCCCATAGTATAGACAGTAAAATGAGAACAATTTACTTCTATAGATCAAATAAAAGGTTTGGTTTGAAAATTTCAATTTACTAAATACAACAAACATCAAAAAATAAAAAAAAAAAGGCTGGAATGTTGAATGTTTAAAGTTTGATAAATTGTGAACATATTTAGATTAATATAAAATAAATATTTAGATTAATATAAAATAAATTCAGGTTTGTATTTTTGAAGGATGACCTTTAAAATATTTTCCTCACTTTTGAAATAGAATTTTTGTATATCTCTTTTATCATCATTATTAAAAATTAAAAATATTTCTATAAGAACAATAGAATCAGTATCAATATTTTGTTAAAAAATATTTGGCTTATTATTCAAAATTATACAATTTTGACATTTTTTAAAAACAGAGTTTTGTTTTATCTTACTTTTTATAGAAATATTATTATGGTAAGAATTAACATGTGTTTTCACGGCTTAAATTTTGTTTTACTTGTTATATCATAACGCTAAAATCAAGGTAAGACAACATTGAAAAAGAAAAATGTGGAATACAACTTAGACCAAAAATAGATGCTTGGACAGAATAGCTAAAACTGATTTTTGAAAAAAATCTTAAATTCCAATGTTTTGTATTTTAGCATCATGGGAATTCTGAAGAAATTATATTTGTTTTTGCTTTTGATGACAAAGAAGAATTAAAATGTTTGTAATATTTATTTTAAAAAGTAAATGAAACTTAATGTATTCTCAGGGTTTCTACTGATGTCACTATTATGGATTTTATAAGTACATAAGTAATCATAAATGTACTGAAAAGTTCTGTAATGTGGTGTGAAATTCGTTTCTCCTTTGAGGCAAGTGTTAATCAAACTATATTTTTGGTTGCCATGTTATTAGAGGGTCATAACCTCTCTTTCCAAAAAATGCCAAAATCTTACTCTTTTTGATGAATTCTTTTTTTTTTTTTTTTTTCAATCAGCAAATTATTAAAAGTTTGAACTTAAAACATGAAAGAAGATATGGTTAAGTCTGGACAGGTGAGCATCAAAAAATTATTGAATCAAAGATCTAAATTCCTTTTGAAAAAAAATAATTAAAAAACTAATACTTTTCTTTTTCAGTGTTTTGAAGTAAAAATTTCAATTAAAACTATTTTAATTATTTTTTTCAATTTTTTAATTTCACTTTCAAAACGGGAAAAAAATTTTTGTTTAAATTTTTTTTTTAAAAGGAATAGAGATTTTGAGTTTATAAATATATTTTTAATGAAAGAAAATTTAGAGATGTATTAACTTAAATTTAAAGAAAAAATTCTTTTAAAGAAATATTGAAAAAATGAAAAATAAAAATCCAATGATTCATTTTGGAACTGCATCATTTATTCTAGATACCTCTAAAAATTTTCTAAAAAAAGAGCATACCATGATGAAAAAATGCCCCAAACTTGATAAAAACAATGTTTTATCATCAAAATTTACATTATTATTAAGAGGAAACACCAAAGTATTTTTTGATTATTTTATGAAATCTTTTAATCATTTCTAGGACATTCAAAATTTGGGTTAAAATTTTTTTTTTAATGTCAGCAGGTGGGCCAACGATTACTATAAGGATTTTTAGAGTCTTTTTGATATTAAAAACACATTGTTTTGGAAATTCTTGAAGAAAATCAAATAATTGTCAGATTTTAATTAAATCTTCAGGACTTGTTCACAAATCGTTGAAATTTTTTTAAAGAAAATCTTTGTAAAAACATTTTTTTTTTACATTTATTACCCTCACTTATTTAATTTTATGAAATTTCAAGAAATTGAAATTTCAGTCTCTTCATATTTACATTAGTTAAAAGCAGAACACCTTGGAGAATTTAAATCATCAATTTTTCTTTGTCAAACAAGAATCACCATTTACTGAAAATAAAAAAAAAAACTGCAATAAAACTATGACATTATTTAATTAGAAAAGCTTTTAATTGCTTTTATAAATAATATATATTAAGAGCACTATTGTCTTAAGAAAAAAAATTTCAGTGAATAATGAATGTTTACAAGAATTGTTTTCATTTTTTTAAAGTTTAATTAGGTTTTAAATCTTTTAAAATTTTGTATTAATTTCAGCCTTTTAGATGATATTATTATTAAATGAAAACTATATTTACTAATCATTAATAGAAAAACTTAATACAAGTCACCCAACACCAATATTTTGGATTATTTTTTGGGTATAAATGCCGATTTTTGTAAGTACAGGTGACCATACACAACATTATCAGAAAATAAGAGTGATGACTATAGCAAATTTAAAGCTGACATTTCTAAAATTCAATGAAACATAAGATTACAGAAAATATTTTTCTAAATTTTCAAGATTACTGAGTACTTATAAAATATAAAAAAGGTACTTGCATCATTTTCTTCAATTGTGTATTTTATAGATAGTCTCCATAGAACAACATTAGACCTGTCATCAGGCTGTCAACATGTCAAGATAGCTACTGTAAAAATACAGCTACTGCAATATTTTAAACTTAAGTAATTAATAGTTGTTCCAAATCAGATTAATTATATTTTAAATCATATAATATTCCTCAAATAAAGTTTCAGAAAGTGTATTTTATTTTGGGAAGATATTTTTAATAAACAGAATTACATTGTGATGAAAGATGACTAAAAAAGGGCACTAATCAGGTATTTCAGGTAAAAAAAAAAAAAAAAAAACTCCTTCCAGTCAATTTAAATTAGTTTTCAAAATACAGCAACAGATTTTGATTATTAGAAGTATTAAATTTAATTTATTAGTTTGAAATTAAAACTAATATAAAAGCTTCAGGAAAGATTTTTCATTTTTAAAAATTCATTTTAAACCTTAGGTATCATGTTATTTGTGAAGGTCTCTAATTTATCTCCTTCAAGCTCTCCAGATTTAATCCAGAAAATTCATGCAAGAAACCAATGTTA